AAATGAGGCTGTTGTGCATCCAAGTCCTGGTTGATAGCCTTGTTGTTGTGAATTCGGAAGTAAGGTACCAGTGTTGGTAAGCCATTTGGTAAGTTTGTTGTTCAAGAGTTTTTCAAATAGTTTATAAAGAACTGGCAATAAAGTAATGGGCCTGTAGTTGTTTGCTAAATGTTTTGGCTTGTTGTTTCCGTTGTGAATTGGTATGAATTGGTTACATATATTCAACAGTCAGATGTGCACAATAATTACCATTCCTTCCTTTCCTAGTTTTCAACATTTTCCAAAAAAGCTTGGAATCACACTCTGCAAACTGTTCAAAGTCTTTGAGGTTTTGTTCAGTGAGATCCTGGATGGCAGTTCTTTGAGCCCGTCTGAAATCTCTCTTAAGACGTTTGTAGTTAGCGTAAGATTCATGATTGATGCCACGAGGGCGTCCCTGGTTGATCCATAGCTTCCGGGCATGTCGTTGTAGAGAGTGGATATGTTTAAGGTGTTTAGACCAGTATGGTTTTGTATGCGGGTTGTACTTAGATACGGGTAACGTGGATGAAGCCGCATGAGATATGGCGTGAGTAATGTTGTCATAGTAGGCATCAATATGAGACTGACTTTCCTCCAATTTGCATAAGAAGAGTTTCTAAAAACAAATGGTCATTGATTGAAAGTTCAAAGTCAAAATTAGAATTATGAAGGCTCTCCAAGTTATAAATTGGGGCAGCATAATCTCTTTTGACTGAGAGTATAATATATTTAATTTCCTCTACATATTTCTTATCCTGCAACAAAGAATTATTAAACTTCCAATATGTCTTTCTTTTAGGAGAGTTTTCAATATTCAAATGGAAACTAGTAAGTGAGTGGTCTGTTCCATAACCTTGGTTTATCCTGACTTGAGATACATCTCTACACAGATTTTCTGACATAAGAAAAAAAATCAAGTTTTGCCTGTTTTATGGGTTTTGTGCGTCGCCAAGTATATTGTCTTATCGAGGGTTATTGTCCCCCATATGTCAATAAGATTAAGTTCTCCTATAAATTCTAATTCTACCCAAAGCTGTGATTTATTTCAGTGCTAAAGCCTGCTTTAGCATATTATCTAAAAGACATAATTTCCTATACTCTTCATTCATGTTTGTATGTTTCATACAATTGGAAATAGCCATGGTTGTATTGTCATGGAAACGTTCAGGAAAGAATACGCACTTCTCTTGAAACTTGTCATTTGATAACCAAATGTTATCTTCTATTCATTTTATTTAATGCTGATATATACGTTTTGGCAGTTTTGAGAAGTACACCGGATTGATTTCTAAGTTAGCTGACATAGTGGTAAATTCATTCAGAGATTCGATCTGTTGACAGAAAACTAACTAACAGAACACTTTATAGGATAGGTCATGACACACGTCAGTATCCAGCACTTCATCATGATGTGTATTGACAGAAAGCTTGCAGAAGAGGAAAGATCGTGAACTGTCAGCTGTGCAAAGAACAAAATAATGACTTGTGCATAAGATATGAATAAATCATTTTGTATATGAATGTATGTGCTGTCCCTGGCTGCTGTCGAGAACATGAAGACCTCGAAAGAAACACTATATTATTCTTACAACAGGTGGGAATGATGTTGTGTATACTCTAAGTTAATGCTGATTGAAAGTACTAAAGGTTAAACGGTTTCTGATAGTCACAATAATGTCCTTCACATTAAAGGGCGTTCATCAAGTGTGCAGTGAAACAAATTAAAAGTTATGTTACTTACGCCAATTTGCAAAATGGCAAAACATGTATATTCTAGGACACCTTAATTGATTCCATGAATTTATATGCCAAATGTATTCAATCTCAGGTAAAACGCACAATGGTTCTTTCCCCTTTAATTATGGTGATTCGGAGAGGGCACTAACATAACATGTGTGATATGTGAATTGGAACGAAAATCAAGAGAGCCGATGATCTGTTTTTCAATGCCCGTACAGTTTTACTGACTAATGGTTCTCAGTAAGTATTTTGATTAGTCTATTTCTAATGTGTAATAGAAACAATTAAGACATCTCTTTCAAAATCGCCTCAGTTTGATATTTCATGTTGTTTCTATATTATCTAGATCTAGCATTTTGACTTTAAGGTTTGCATTCAAGTAATCTTAAAATTATCTGAATTCGTATATATATATATATATATATATATACAGGCCCCCAACTAATCATTATATCAGTATCAAATACATACAGAAATGCACATATCAGCAATATCATTGTTCATCCAAGCTTTATGACTAACTGAATATATATATTGTATTTCGTGTTGTTCTTTTTTAAGTACTGCTCTTCACGACAATGGAGGAAATAAAATACATCTATATAGGGTTCAAAATGACCACCAACCTGATTGATCGACCAGGCTAATGATGACAAAACACCAGGAAGTCCTTTGACCAGGGTTCGCGGAGTGGCTAACGTGGTTTTGGACAGCCTCATTGTACTGACAGTAAGGTAATGGAGTTCTGCCTCCAAATAGTCATCGGAAGCGAAGTCCATGAAATTTGAAGTAAACATGGTAAACTGGCATTAACAAGGAACACACATAGGAGCATCATAGCACTTTTGAAGAAAGAAAAAAAATGTCTTGTACATGATCGTCTTAAAACAACATTATCTCTTCGACACTTATGGTCGGTTGTATATAGTGTAGCTTGTTTGTGGTTTGTTTATCCCAGTTTGACATCCAACATATTGCCGTACAACAGGCTTGCAATCAGTATAAGGGTACTTAGTGTCCACTACTGTTTGTTCAAGAGCAGCATTGATAGGAAACAAACAGGAGAAAATATCATGCTGATTGTTACAGGTGCAAATCTTAAATCTCAGCCAGGAACGGGTGGTCCCATTTCCGACCATCTGTTGCTTGCAAACATTTCTTTTTATATTTAAATTTTATTCCTGTAGACATATTACATATCATTATTCTTCTTATTAATATTATATAATCATATATCTACTTAAATAATAAATAAATAGATAAATAAATAAATAAAACTCTTTCACACTGAAGGTTTATAATACCCGTGTGTTAACAATTTAGCTCAATCCACTGAGACATTTTTTGCCAAAAGTATTTACTTATTCTACAATTCCAAAAAAGACGAAGTATGGACTCAGGCTCAGAACCGCAAAATGTACAAAGATAATTCTCAACCATATACAGTTTAATCAGGTATGGATTGACTGGAAAGATTCTGTGAAGCAGCCTGAATTGCATCCATGTTAATTAAGGATCATGAGTGGTTTTAAAGGGTTTTTATGAATATATTATTCCAATTAATATTAATCAACGTTTCATCTTCCCATTTTACAACAATCTTCAATTTTTCTTCACTTTCAGCGATTTTAAAATAATAGGTCTTTGATCCTTTTACATGAATTGAGATTACTTATATTCATGGTTGTTAAAGTTATTATCTAGTATCACATTTGAGCTTTTTTCGAAACCAATTGCTTTGAGGTATTTACTAATGGTCTTTACAATTCCAAGACACTCAAGAAGATTTATCTTCTAGAATTTATGACAAAATTGTTCAAGTGTCATTAAGTTCCCACCATCATTCAGTAAGCAGTAAATATTAACAATATTGTGTTCATAAAACTTTTTACTGTAAAACGATTTGCCATCTATAATTATTTTTCTGTTATACAAAAGGGGTTCCCTGAGGAACTCTTCTAAGGTATTTGGTTTATTTTTATAACTATCTTTGGCAAAAGCATTTAGAGTATGTTTCCAAAACTAATTTTGCGTAGATTTTGAAAGCTTAAGTTGATATTCACTACCAAATAATGAGAGGTTCAAAATATTGTGGAATTGTTTCTATCAACAGTTGGTTCCACTTTCTTTCATAATTGAATTGAAGTAATTTTCTAATCCATGTTACTTTCAATGCATCAACATAGGCATATATATCAATCATTCCCAACCTTCCCTCAGCAACTGGTTTACAAACAACTGTTATTTCAATTTTATCAGGTTTGTTATCCCAAAGAAAACGATATAACATACTATTTAACTTTTTAAGAAAGTCAACGGGTGGGTTGGGCAGAGTAAGAAAAAGGAAATTCAGTTTGGAAATAAGCAATGACTTGATAACAGCATTTTTTCCTATAGGAGTTACGGTTCTTTTCGTCCATTGTTTAATTATTTCTTCAATTTCATAATTGTTAATATCGACCAAAAAGATTATACTCAAAATCCTAAAACTTTCTGGATTCCAACGTAGGTTTAACTCTGATCTGAATTTAACATTACTATTTCTATTCCTAACTTCCTATCCAAACAACTTCTGATTTATCATAGTTAATCTAAAGTCCAGAAATTTGTGCATATAAATCTAATGTGTCATTGACCCCTTCAAAAGATTACTTTGAACCTTCAAGAATAAATTCAGTGTCATCTGCATATTGAGATATGAGGTATTCAATATTGTCGACCACTATACCCTTGATATTTTCATTTTTGTTAATAAGAGCTGATACTATTTCTGCACATAATAAGAAGATATGTGGTGGCAAAGAGTCAAATGCCTTCTCAAAATCATAAATCATACGAATATTATCCCTGATATATGTGCCTGACATAAATCCTGTTTGATCTTCATTAATGATATTGGGGAGCACTTTTTTTAATCTGTCTGCAATGACTGAGGATAGAAGTTTGTATGCTGAGTTTAATAGGGTAATTTGACGCCAGTGTTTGAGAAATTGTTTTGTTTTATCTCCTTTTTGGATGCATGTTATAATTCCATGTTTTTAAGTTAAGGAGAGATGGCAAGTTTCAAGACTGTAATTCATTGATCTCAAAAGGAAATCACCAAGGTCAAGCCAGACCAATTTTTTGAATTCGTAAGTGAAGCCATCTGATCGTGGACTCTTTGTTGTTTTCAGATTTGCAGTTCCTGTTTTTAGTTTCTAATCTTCTACGATAGATTCTCCAAAGTTGTTCTCTAGATTTTATATTTTTGTCTCTAGTCTTTCTTCTTTAACTATTTTCTTTTAAATGAAGAGTATGAGACTGACTTTCCTCTAATTTGCATAAGAAGAGTTTCTAAAAACAAATGGTCATTGATTGAAAGTTCAAAGTCAAAATTAGAATTATGAAGGCTCTCCAAGTTATAAATTGGGGCAGCATAATCTCTTTTGACTGAGAGTATAATATATTTAATTTCCTCTACATATTTCTTATCCTGCAACAAAGAATTATTAAACTTCCAATATGTCTTTCTTTTAGGAGAGTTTTCAATATTCAAATGGAAACTAGTGAGCGAGTGGTCTGTTCTATAACCTTGGTTGATCCTGACTTGAGATACATCTCTACATAGAAGTTTTGCCTGTTTTATGGGTTTTGTGCGTCGCCAAGTATATTGTCTCATCGAGGGGTATTGTCCCCCATATGTCAATCAGATTAAGTTCTCCTATAAATTCTAATAGTTGCTCTCTAGCCTTTGGATTGTTAACATTCATATAATTACTAGTATCTTTATCTTGATCAAGAACAAGGTTGAAATCACCACCAAGGATGCAAAATTCATTGCCAAATTCTTTGAATTTTGTAAGTATCATTTTCTAGAAATATGGTGAGTCAGAATTGGGACCAGAGGTAATACCAACAGACATTCGGCAGCCATTGACTGTGATATCAATGAAAAGAAAGTTACCAGTTTCATGTTTATAAACTTGATGTATCTTGTATTTAATATTTTTATTTGAGAGAAAAGCCACATCTTTAGACTGACTTGAATGACAATTGAGAATAACATCATGGCTCCACATGGATCTGGTAATTTTTTCCTCTTGAAAAGTAAAATATGTATCTTGGAGAAAATATAGTGAGAAATGTTTGGAACGTAAAAGGTTAAAGACATCTCTTCTCTTATCTAGATTGCCAAGACCTCGACAGTTCAATGATCCACAAGAAAAGTTACTGTTCATATCTTACATGATTTAAAAATATCTAACGTTTACAATGAGAACACATCCACACCATTCACATGCCATACATACCTGAACTGGGAAATAAGATAAAAGAACAGAACACATCCGGTAAGCTATTTCCACGCAAACTGTCTGATGATCATATGATAGAGCTATTATCCGATCACAGCCATCTATACATAAGAGTTTATCAAGGATCGAGACAACAGTCACTTCTAAATCTAATATCGCTGTACTGAGCTTAAGCCGGAAGTAAACAACAAGTATCATGGCTACTCCTTGCAGCAATGATGCAAAACTCCTTGCTTGAAAACATGACAAACGATCGGAGGATGTCATAAGTTGTCTTTTCTCAGAATGCCCGATATACTGCAATGCTAACATATTTCCCCCTTGCTCGTGCAGTGAAATTTGAGTGAGTCTAAGTGAAAACGTATCATCTGATGTACCGACACCAGCTAATTTCTCTCGTTTCTTTTAGCCGTCGGTATAGATGCAGTTGTAACAGCGGTAGGGTAGTTGTTCTAAGCTCATAAACAGATTGCTGATATTGTATAGATTGCCATGGTGGTACACTCTTGAAAAAAAAGAAACGCACAAGCGTTTCCAGCAGTTCATTTCGATATATGCTTGACAACGACATTAGAATCACCACAAGATTTTCAACGTCACCTTGTTGAGCAATGACGAAGCCTTCCTCGGGGTGTGTTTACTAACGTTCTAAGATCCCCATGAAAAGACATGGTGTGTCTGAAAGGGACGCTAGAGGATGCCACAACCCTTACTGGAGACCTCAATGGAATTGTTCTCCACGCTATGAACTTCATTTTGGAGGGTAGCTTGACATCATCAACGTTACCGTTGTTAAAGACTTTCAATATTTTGTTTTCCTTTGATGTCATGAAGTTCTGTGCACAGCATACCACTACAATTATTGTTTTAAACCTAATATTATAAACAGCCCAAAGCATCCCAGGTGTCAAGTTTTCAGTTTTGCTCAGTAGATATGTTAATCCCACGACAAGACACAATAAAAGCATCAACAAACACACTTCCTTGAGGTACACCCAATTCTTGGTCAAACATAACTGACAGAGATTGATCCAACACGAACTTGGAACTACCTATTGTTAAGAAATCGGGAAGTTAATTCAGGCCTGCGCCCACGGAATCCTCTGGAATGAAAATCGTTTAATATGCCATATTTCCATGTAGTGTCACAGGCCTTCTTTAAATCAAAGAATATACACTGCATTTTGTTTATTTATGTAGGCTATTTTTTAATCATTCCTTCCGTCGTTTTGCAAACACAGTTTGTCAAGGCAACTGGACGGTAATTTATTGGATTGGTATCTTGGAGTGACTTAGGAATTTGGATGATAATTGCTGTGTGCTAAGAATCTGGGAATGCACCATGTTCAAAGATGTTTTTAAATATACAAAGAAACAGTAATAATGATTCCTTACAAGATGTAAAGTTAGCCACATCGCAACAGCCTGGAGATCAGTTTTGAGTTGCACTTGACTATAAAGAATGTTTTGTCGAACCATTATGGATACACCACCAAAAGTTTTGCCAGTGTTTGATGAATAGATGTGATAAGAATCATACCTATGAAAGACTTTATAAGTTTCCTTCAGTAATGTTTCCTGAAGACCTACAGCTATTCACAGCATACAAGTTGAAGATATGTTTCATGTTCGTGCGTTAACAACAAGTGTGTTTCCGCCGGAAGTCCTCTATTCTCATGTCGCTTACATCATGATGAAATGTCCGCACAAATAAAGACGTTTAGTACAGATTATAGATATTTTAGGAGCGCTTCAAATACATGGCATCTCTGTTCTTTAGAGAAAAAGGGAAATATACTTTCTTACCAACGGAAATCTTCAATTATATATTGAAACTGAAATTAGACTATTAATTTAACTATATTAGTCTCTCGTGATTCTTTCATCACAAGGGTGATTGAGTGGCGAATGCGACATCGTCGCACAATGACCTCTTCAAATCTGGACTGACAACCCAAGTAGGTGTAGCCGATAGTTGGTTTAATTTCATGTAACTTATTGATACCTGTACTGTGACCAGTTAGTCAATCTTGTAAATGATACAGCCAGCTAACCAACTATCAAGATTTTAACGATTCTTGTTGATGCATAAGAGCTTTACAGATGAGTGATGATTTTTAGTTGACATATTCATGTGGTAGTACTTGATGGTATATGGTGAAAAGACTGAAACGGACATAAAAAGATAGATTAGTTCTACAATAGTTCTGTCAGTCCAAAAGGTCATTGAAATTAATCTGTGCAAAATCTTTAGCTTATTTATATTTCTTACGTTATACATTCTAACATGAGACAAAGAATGCATTTAACTCATGGAAATGATTCCTACATCAATAATCAATAAGGAGAGAATTCAATCATATTTTCAGTGAAGTAAAATTCTGTGACCTCTGCCAATGGAGCCAAAACATAGCAAAAGTTCAAAACATTTAAAAGTACATTTAAAGCTCATTTCCTGACTAAAAGTTATGCTGAAAGTGACAAAAAGCCTTACTCAGATAAAAGAAACAAAACTTACACTGTGGGGACTGTATAATTGTCTGATTTTAGTTAATTGGTTCCTAAATAGAGCTGCTGGGTAGCAGACGACATCTTGTTGGTGAGGGCTCACAAATCTATCTCCACTGGGAAGAGTTCTACTGGGGGAGGTAACTCTATAGCTGATAAACTGACTGAAGTGTCCATAAAATCTTTAATGGGTGTAACAGAACACTCCCCGGGATGATATTCTTAAAATATCATAAAATCTAAATATACTAATTCTGCAACATATTACATGTTTAGCATAAAATCTAATGATATGATATATAAATTCAAACTTTAAAACACTTTGGAAAAGTTAACTTCAAATTCAATTTCTATCAAGAGCGTAAGATGAATAAGATACTCTCTGGCTCCAAAAGCGTTACACAAATATGAGGTAACACAAACACCATCTCACTTGGATAATAAAGTCATATTATCAAAGTTCAAAATCTCATAATGCTATTAAATGCTATTTACAGTTCAGATACTGTTCACATTCCTGAGAATTGGAATCAGGTCATTGACTGGACGGATATATGTGGAAGATTTTCCATTTTTAGCAGTTCTCACAACAACTACTCGAACACGTCCGTCATCACTGGGCTTGATTTCATCAATGATGCCCATAGGCCAACTGTTCCGTGTTACATTTTTGTCCTTTAATAGCACCAGATCTCCAGTTTGTAAACAGGGTACGTCATTCTGCCACTTTCTCCTGGGCTGGAGAGTGTGCAGGTATTCTGTTCTCCAGCGAGCCCAGAACATATCAGCAAGTTGCTGCACACGCTTCCACTGACTTTTATACAGAACCTTTAAATCACCAGAATGAATATTTCCATTAACATCTGTCATAGGTCGGGATTTCTGGGTCAACAACATGGCTGGAGATAGAACACATGGGTTTTCTGGGTCAGATGACACAGGCACTATTGGACGATTATTCACTATCACACAAACTTCTGCCATCAGGGTTGCGAGGACATCATGTGTCAAACTTGTAGTTCTGATTCCTGTCATCACGGAGTCAAGGATTTTCCTGCAAACACCAATCATTCGCTCCCAAGCACCACCCATGTGTGAAGCATGAGGAGGATTGAAGATGCATTCTATGCGGTTGTCATTCAGGTATGACTTCATCTTCACATCTTCAATATTTATGGTGTTGATCTTTAATTCACTTGTGGAACCGTCAAAGTTTGTTCCACGATCCAAACGGAATAGTTTGACGTCACCTCGTATGGAGATGAATCTTCTCAAAGCATTGATAAATGCTGAAGTGCTCAGTTCATCTACTAACTCGATGTGTATTACTCTAGTGACCAAGCAAGTGAACAGGATTGCCCACCTCTTGGAATTTGCATATCCTCCTCTTGTTCTGCACGACACGATATTCCAGGGGCCAAAGGTATCTAGGCCGACATACGTGAAGGGTGGGCTTTCTTCGACTCTATCACATGGAAGGTCTGCCATCTTCGGGGGCTCCATTCTACCTCTCAGTTTGCGACATGTTACACACTGGTGTATGAGAGATGAAATGAGTCTCTTACCGCCTATGATCCAATAACCATTGGAGCGTACTGCTCCCTCAGTGAGTTGTCTCCCTTGGTGCTGGATCTTCTCATGAAAATGCATGGTTATGAGTTTGGATACATGGGATTTCTTCGGCAATATAAGCGGATTCTTGTGTTGTACATCAAGAGAAGTCTTGTTCAAACGCCCACCTATTCTTAGAAGCTTGTTACTGTCCAGGATTGGGTTCAGTGAGAATAACGGACTGTCTTTTGGGATTGGTTGTTTGTTCTTCAAACACTGGATCTCTTCAAGGAAATATTGTCTCTGAACTTCCCTCATTACAAAATGTTTACTATCAGTGAAGGTTGAGATCCCATTTCTTTCTTGTCTTGGAGCCTTAGACATTCTTGCAAGAGTTTTGAGCCATGCTATTCCGGAGTTCAGGTTCTTCCAGGATGAGAACTTTGAAAATCTATCCATTCCTATTCCAATGTTTTGTTCTACAAAGAGGGTGGCTTCAGACACCACTTCTGTGTCATCAGTTTCTTGACCCGTTGTTTCCATCTCTTTGTCCTCGTTTACTTTTGATGCGTTTCTTGGTCCGTTTAACCACTTGCTTTCTTCTAGCTTGGCAGCATCCAGCACTCTCGTTCCATCGTCAGCTGGATTCTCACTTGTGAGAACATAATTCCACTGATCTGATGTGGAGAACTTGAGTATTCTTGCTACTCTATTTGAGACATATACCTTGAATTTCTTTGTTGTGTTTCGGATGTAGCCCAGGACTATCTTGCTGTCTGAATAGAATCTGCAATCTGACGAATCCATGTTCAGGCTGTCCCATACCGTCTCAGCCAACTCCACAGCCATACCAGCAGCACACAGTTCTAAGCGTGGAATGGTGTGACCATGAGACGGGGCTATCTTCACTTTTCCCATCACGAAACCTATTTATTCACTTTCTTCTGGGGTGAGTACTTTCAGGTATACCACTGCCGCTATGGCCTTTTCAGACGCGTCGCAGTAGAAAAGTAGTTTTCTGTCAGCTGCATGGCTAAAGGATGAAGGAACGAAGCTTCGAGGTACACATACAGTCTCTAATTGCTTCAAGGATGATTTCCAAATCTTCCATTCTGTTTCATGTTCCTCTGGAATGGGGTCGTCCCAATCTGCATGGTTTGACAGTATTTCTCTCATAATCAATCTGCCTTTGATGATGACAGGAGAGAAGAGAAGGGAAGGACACCACGCTTTGTGAATGGCTTGTTGTCATTTGGGTCTTGAAGTGTGAACATGTCAGTCTTGATGTTCTAAGAGACACCGAGACTACTTTGCAGGGGGTAGGCACTTCCCAGGTCTGTGAAGTCTATATTCTGCAGATCCTTGTTTCTATCTTCAGATGGAAATGCTTCCATTACCTTCACACTGTTGGAGGCAATCTTTCCATAAGTCTTGAGGGCGTCTTGAGTCCGTTGCAATAGGTTTATTGCTTCGTCGTCTGTGGGCAGAGAGGTCAAACCATCATCTACATAAAAGTTCTTGTTGACGAAATCTTCAACATCAGAACCGAATTTCTCAGCAGCACATCCAGCAATTCTTCTAAGACCACTTGTGGCGATGGCAGGTGAGGATTTATTTCCAAAGACGTGCACTGTCATTCGATATTCTATCAGGTCTTCAGAAAGATTGTTGTCTCTGTGCCAGAAGAAACGTAGGAAGTCTTCACTTGCACTTGTATGCACTTGGAAGCAACAGAACATCTTCTCAATATCACCCATTATTGCTACGGGTTCTTTCCTGAAGCTCAGTAGAACGTGGAGGAGTCTGTTCATCAAGTCTGGTCCCTGTAGCAAGATACTGTTGAGGGAGATGCCTTCATATGCAGCTGATGCGTCAAATACACCTCTAATTTGATCGGGTTTGCGTGGATGACGAACACCAAACAGAGGTAAATACCATACTTCTTTATCATTCTCAACCGGAGGTGCAATTTCAGCGTGCCCTGCCTTCAAGATGCTTGTCATGAACTCCGCCATTTGTTTCTTCTTATTTTCATCTTTGTTCAGGCTTTTATGTAGTGCTTGAGCCCTTTGTTTTGCTTGTAACTTGTTGTTTGGTAGATGGGGCCGTGGGTTGCGCATTGGTAAAGGTGCAGTCCAGGTCCCATTCTCACCCTGGTACATGTCCTCATCTAAAATTTCGAGAAAATGACGGTCTTCAGTTGAAAGACCAGGTCTGCCATCAGTTTCAGTTGTCTCAAAAACATCAGTATTCTTACTCTGTCTCTCAAGGAGGGGTTTAATCATGAAATTATTGACACATGGTTTCAGCAGTGTTGGTCGTCCATAGCTTGTGTATGTCTTGTTTACGTTAACAGCATCTGTTATGTGTTGTTTTCCGAGACAGGTCTCTCCTATCACAACCCAACCTAATGGGAGTCTTTGGGCATATGGTGAGTGTTTCAAACCGACCCGCTGATCCTTAACATGGAAGCCTTCAGTCATGTTTCTTTCAATAAGCAGGAGAATCTCTGCTGAGTCATCAAGGGGTGGCAGGCAATCAGCAATGTCGGTAAGATGGTCGTGGCTTCTGGCTACTGCAGGAGTAGCAATTTCTTCTCTGAAATTGGGAATGTCGTTGCATTCGATCAATGTAGGCAGATCCAGAGTACAGTCGTCAGAGAGGGATCTCACTTGAAAATTTGCTGCTCGTCGTCCAGATGTTTTTGTCGTTCCTGAACAAGTTGATAAGGAGTAGGGAATTTCCTTAGTGTAAATGTTCATGAGATCAAAGAATTTTGATTTTGCCAGGCATGAGTTGCTTTGATCATCCAGTATTGCGTACAATCTTATGGAATTCTGCGGATCATTCTTGGGATGAACTTCAACAAGGATTGTTTTTCCACATGATTTTCCATGGAAAGTGTCATTACCACAAACTTCTGTGCATGTAGATAATATCTTTGAAGTCCTTTCAGTTTCTGGATCTTTATTCTCTTGTCTGTCAGGTTTGTCAGATTCCTTAGCTTTTTCCTGTGTCCAGTCTTCACGTCGCATGTGTAGTGCTGTAGCATGCTTTCCGCCGCAAACTTCACACTGTGCTTGAGGTTCAGTACAATAATATGCCACATGTCCAAATCCACAACAATTAAAACAAAGTCCCTTTGAATTCATAAAGTGTATTCTCTCTTGGATCGGTTTCTGCTTGAATGAAGCACACTCATTTAGGGAATGATCAGTGTTGTGAAGGGGGCATTTTTCTGACACTTCAGTTTTCTTGACATGCACCTGATGATATTTCTTTTGAGGTACAGCTTGGGTGTGTTCACTGGTCTTGAGCTGTGAAAAGCTTGTGTCATTCTTCTGTCTGCTTCTGTCTGTCGTGAATGAAGTTAACAAATTCGGAGAAGGGTGGAAATTGAACTTTATATTGGTCTTTGTACCTGAATGCTCTGTTCTCCCACTTTTCTTTGAGTCCACTTGGAAGCTTGTCGACGAGAGGATTAACTCTCTTGGGTGAGTCAAAATAGGAAAGGTAAGTGTCAAATTTTTCTTCCATTTTTGTACACTCTATTTCTGCTAATAGATCGTAAAGATCATATAGCTTCCTGTAGTCTTGAGAATTGATGGCTGGGAAAGATTCAAGTCTCTTCTCCAGAGATGAAAGAATATGTTCTGGACTCCCAAACCGTTGATCTAAGCGTTCCCAGGTAAGTTGGAGACATACGGTAGGTGTTTTCCGCTTGTATCTTCTTATGTTCATGGCATCGCGGAGGGATTTGGGTCCAAGCCACTTGAGAAGTAGATCTAGTTCTTCCCCTTCGGTGAGCTGCACTTCATGTATCACTCCTTGAAAGTTTATCTTCCAAATTTCATATGATTCTGGGGTGTCATCAAACTTGGAAAGTCTCTGCAGAAATTCCTTCCTCAAGTGCATGTTTGAGACATCATTTAGAGGTATATATGGAGTTGCATTAGGGTTAAGAGTTGCACCTGCATGTCTGTCACTAACAGTCTCTGGTTTCTGCATCCGAGGAGGAGGAGGTAAATCTTAGCATCCTGGATCTTTGCTGTCGTCACTATTCAAATGAATGACATAGCTCTGTGTTCTGTCTTTAGAATTCTGAATTGGAATTTCTAAAGCAACTGGAATTTCAACAACATCATATTCTTCATTTACTTCTTCCAATACTTTCATTTCTGCTTCTAATACAGCAAACATTTTCTGATTTTCTAATATCTTCCTTTCAGTCTCTAACATGGCCTGCTTTCTAGACAGTTCTGATTCTTTGTGTACATAATCAAGGGCAGTCTTTACTGCTTCCAATTTTGCACGCTTTTCAGCTAACTTACTGTGGCAACTACTTCTTGAACTTCTACTGGATTGTTTAGATGTTTGGGAGCATGCATCAGAGAATATTATTGAAGAAGTAACTTCGTTTTCTTCCTTAGAAGCCATGATTCTTTCTCTATACAGTTGTAATACGAGTTCTTTTCACTGTACTGTGACCAGTTAGTCAATCTTGACAGCCAGCTAGCCAACTATCAAGATTTTAATGATTCTAGTTGATGCATAAGAGCGTTACAGATGAGTGATGATTTTTAGTTGACATATTCATGTGGTAGTACTTGATAGTATATGGTGAAAAGACTGAAACGGACATAAAAAGATCGAATTAGTTCTATAATAGTTCTGTCAGTTCAAAAGGTCATTGAAATTATCTGTACAAAATCTTTTAGCTTATTTATATTTCTTACGTTATACATTCTAACACGAGACAAAGAATGCATTTAACTCATGGAAATGATTCCTCATCAATAATCAATAAAGAAAGAATTCAATCATATTTTCAATGAAGTAAAATTCTGTGACCTCTGCCAATGGAGCCAAAACATAGCAAAAGTTCAAAACATTTAAAAGTACATTTAAAGCTCATTTCCTGACTAAAATGTTATGCTGAAAGTGACAAAAAGCCTTACTCAGATAAGAGAAACAAAACTTACACTGTGGGGACTGTATAATTATCTGACTTTAGTTAATTGGTTCCTAAATAGAGCTGCTGGGTAGCAGACGACATCTTGTTGGTTAGGGCTCACAAATCTATCTCCACTGGAAAGAGTTCTACTGGGGGAGGTAACTCTATAGCTGATAAACTGACTGAAGTGTCCATAAAATCTTTAATGGGTGTAACAGAACAGTACCTACTTGAGTGTCCCACTTCTTTTGCATTAGATCACGGATATAAGATCTAATTACAGCTTTGTAATCCGAATATGGGATCAGAAGTGGTGTCACTGATTTGTTGAGTGCTGCTTTAGCAGCAAACAGAAGACATTGGCCAGTAGCAAGATCGTTATACAATTCAATGATTTCAATTAAGAGTGGATGTTTACAAGAAAGATTTTAATAGCTTGAAGGCAAGAATGTGGGTCTGAAAAGATTATGTGTTGTTTATATTTGGGGTGTCTATTAATATATTTTAAGGCTGTTAATATGGCAATTGCTTCCGCTGTAAATATAGAGCTGTTATTGGGTAATCGGAAAGATATTGTTCTGGATCCAATGACAGTGGCACTAGCAACCACGCCGCCACCCTTGGATCCATCTTCAAATAACGATTTGTACGTTTTATATTTATTTCTTAATTGATTATCTTGTGTGTATCGTAATTCATTTGTTTCAAATTTCTTTAATGTGGCCAGTGTTAAGTCTACTTGTGGCCTCACCAACTGCCAAGGAGGAGAATAAAACAGGCAGGAAGGAGATATAGTATTTAGGTGAATGAAAGCAGGAAGAACGGTTTTATTCTTATTCCAAGAGGTGGAATAATAGAAGATTTTTTATAGAGGATTAAACACACAGTTATGAGCAGGGTTGGACAGATTAGAAAAGTGTTTAGTGACATACTGTTTTAAATATATGAAGAATCATATTTTCTTTCATCCCCACTGGTTTCCAAAAATATTATTTTTGTTAGTGGTATGCTTGTCAGTTTAGGGAGGAGACTTATCTCGCTTAGTAACCTTGGATGAAAAACTCAAACACAACGCTGTGTTCCAACAAGGGAAAAACAAGTCGAAACTCATACAAAACACAAACTTGTATATCCAGTTGGAATAAAGGAAGAACTGAAGAACGCAAGCACCAGAATTAAGTCTCTTTGTTCTCTCACGAACATGTGGTTTTTCCCTTGGATGCAGATGATCGTCTCGGCAACGTGCGGTCCATGTGCTTCTCTTCCACGGAGTGTAATTTCCACAGGGGCGTGTCACGCTTAGAAACAGCGTTAGACAGACATATAGGTATATAGACCCTACCCTAGTACTATATAAAAGGAAAGGGATGTAACGACGGAACCACCCCCTCCTTAATCAAACTTAGATTTCACCACGTAAATTATTTTTAAGGCCCCGTCGAGGCCTGCGGATCGAAAGCGAGACGATGTCCCAACAAAATGAACTATAAATGGTCACAATCGGATCATTATTTCAAAAGTTATACGCCACGACTCACCGAAAACAACTACCTCCGCAATTCCAAGTCAAAATCATGGATCACCCAAGACAGCGAAAACTCACCTTTTAAATTCGTTTATTAATTCCAGCCAAGTTGACAGCACCTATGTGGGGCTAGATTCGATCGGCAGCGGCATTCCACGGGTCTACAAACTTATTGCAACATCTACAAATCATTTCCTCGACAGTAAGCAGGCATTTTCTCCAAAACCTTCGCCAGATGGAGCGCCAGATGTGTATAAAATGACCGTCCATATATTTGGTGCTGCGGACTCTCCATCATGTGCAAGTTATGCACTGCAACGCAGAGCCCTGGACAATCAAGATTTCCGGGAGAATGTTGTACAAGCAGCACTCAATGACTTCTATGTCGATGATTTTCTTAAGTCTGTGGAGACCATACACTAAGCCATCAGCTTATCGTCAAAACTCACTCAACTTATGCAACTCGGTGGATTCAGATTACATAAGTGGATATCAAATTCATCAGAAGTTGTGAATGCTATCCCAGAGTGTGATAGGGCGGTCAGGAGCATTGATATGGAATTTGATCAACAGCCAGTACAGCGTGCACTGGGTTTGTTTCTGGTGATCACTTCGTATTCGACCAAAGACTGAAGCACTCACGTTGCTCCTATCAAACCGACGCTATCAATCCCAAGGCTTGAGTTACAGGGGGCAGTGCTTGGAGTCAGACTCTGGAATTCCCTGCATTATGAACTGAAATTGGACTTTCGTAAAGTGACGTTTTTGACAGACTCTAATACGGTGTTGCAGTACCTCAACAATGAAACCAAGCGTTTCAAACCATTCGTCTCGAATCGAGTCTCCGAGATTCTTGAGTCTACTTCCACTGAGCAGTGGCGTCACGTTCCGTCATCACACAATCCTGCAGATCACTGTTCACGTGGACTCCGTAGCAAAGAACTCACCTCAAGCACATGGTTAAATGGTCCAGAATTCTTGTTAGAACCACATCATGACTTGCTGGATCGCCAGCTACCTCAAGCAGTTGACCTCGATGAAAGTGATCCTGAAGTCAAAGGCAAATGTGTTATGAAACTATCCACTAAGATCGACTCTCCTCAAATCGCGCTGCAGGACATCACGTTATCATTGTTGATAAACCCAAGTCATTACTCATCCTGGCACTCACTCTATAGAAAGACAGCGTTGTTACTACGTGCGGTTAGGAACTGCATGTGCCCTGTGAAAGGATGGACCCCAGTGAAACACAATGAACTGCTTCCTCAGGAGTATGAAGAACTTACCTTGATCTGGGTGCTGGAAATTCAAATTCAGGAATTTCATAAGGAGTTGAACAGTTTCAAAGGAGGTTTCGAGCTACCTAGCACAAGTAAGCTGTTGCCTCTGTCACCAGTGTTCGATGGCAGACACCTCAGGGTTGGTGGAAGATTACAGAAAGCCATGATACCTTCTGAGGCAAAATTCTAGTTGATCTTACCTCGTGATCATCAGATTACAAAACTGTTGATGGGTGATATTCACATAAGGACAGCTCATGGTTTTCGAATATGTGG